CCTAAACCCTAAACCCTAACCATCATAGTAATTCCGAATATAGAAACCTGACTTGCCTGAAATCCTTCAAGCCTGCCTTGTGAAACTGAACAGTCTCAGACCCCTACAAGCCCTAAACTCTAGATCCTAAATCCTAAACTAGACCCTGCACCCCAAAACCCCAATTCCTAAACAGTGAACCCTGAAACCTAAAACCCAAAGCCCCAAATCCTAAACCCTAAACTCTACAAGCGTTGGCTATGTTTTTGTTGGCAGCCGAGGTCCTCGGCAACCATGAATTCGATTATGGTGCAGAGCGGACGAAGGAAGCGCAGCAAACTAGAAACAATATATAGGGATTTGGGGTTTAGGGTTTAGGGCTACCGCAAGAACTTGGCATTAATGCCCGGATGAAAGCTATAGAACCCTTCTAAACCATCCAAGTAAAGCCTATAAAGCTCTTGGTAAGCCCCATAGAACCCATGAAGACTCCAATACAATACAACACTCTAAAGCTCGATAAAGCCTTTGATTAGACTTGAATAATCCTGCCTCTGCGATGTCGGGTTTAAAGTTTAGCCTTTTTTCCTATGTTTAGGGCCCGAGTCCGACGCAGAGATTTGGAGTTGAGGGGTTTAGGGTTTAGCGGTTTATCGGTTTAAGGGTTTAGGGTTTATGATTAAGGGTTTAGGGGTGTAGGGTTTAGGGGTTTAGGGCTTAGAGTTTAGGGGTTTAGGGGTTTAGGGTGTAGGTTTTGGTAGGGCAGTATGGGCTGGGAGGTTTCGTGCCAAGCACTTTCAGAGCCCCATTTCAGAGCTTCAGTGTTTACCCAGTTGTTGCTGCAAGGCTGAATGCATGCATACCTGGGACATATAGCCCTGGCCCTAGCCTCGATTCTAATAATTGTGCTCAGAGTTAACACACCGCTGAATCCGTGCTCTTGGTATGTATTTCCCAGGCAGACACCATGCCACGCATCCTTTACAGCAAGACTTTAAGCCCCAAACCCAAGGGAACACTGAATGCTCCCCTAGTAAACTTAGACATGTCAATATCAGATATAGACCGTACACCCGGCACCTCTAAACTCTCAAACCTGAAAACTACGGCATTGCAGATCCAGAATCAGCTAAAGGTACACTGATCTACCAAGCTCCGGTTCCTTCATGTTCAGCCAAAAGCAGAAAAACGGGTGCATACCCGTAAGCCCGCGTTAACCCCAAGAACTTGAAGACTCAGAAAGGAGGCGTAAATCAATGGAAGCTGACTCTCAGACGAGATTACGACGGAACCCAAGCATAAAGCAAGAAGGAGCTGATGAGCCAGAGCAAGTTCCCCTGGCTTGGCTCCAACGTCCGTGAGACCGGTGGTCCTGCTCCGGACACTGGGCATGGGCCGAAAAATGTGTAGAAAGGGAGGGGTATGGTGAGTGGGTTTAGTGAGGGCCTATCTCGGCGACTTCTTGCACAGGTTTGTTAGGGGGAAACTTGGGAGCAGCAGTAACGGGGGATTCTGATGTAGGTCGTAGGGGGATGTTTGCAGGGTTGGGGTATGGGCTTGGCATGTAGCAGGCTCGGTTCGAGGGGTATCATTCCCTATCTCTGTGATTTTCAACGCCCCCCTCCCGCCCCCTGCCGTCGGCTTTAAATGCACTGCCGTAGTTGAGGAGAAGCCCCTGTTTCACAACACTATGGACCACGATACCTTTGACATCCCTCTTCCGGACGGCGGCAGCGTCAAGGTCAGCGGGTTCTCGAATTGCTGCATTATAGTCATAGTAGCTCCGAAACCAAATCAAATTGACGATGATGTTACCTACTGCAGACTGCAGTGATAGCAGCTTGTCGAAAAAACAAAAAGTTGAATCTTCGAGAACTGAAGACACAAAGACTCAGCGGTAGAGTTGGTAACCTTTACCTTTTTGGGACACTACAATCCCCACATAATCCCAAAGGTTCACCTTTAGTTCCCCTAAGATCCTGGACAAGTAAGTCAGAAAACTTAAGTCTTCAAGAGCCCTTGAGGCTCCAAGCTTCCGGATCCCTAAACCCTAAACCCTAAACCCTAAACCCTAAACCCTAAACCCTAAACCCTAAACCCTAAACCTTAGCCCCTAATACCCGACCTTTCTAAGGACTTATATACAGAAATCATAGTAAGGAGCCCTAAAA